CGGGACGAAGCCGAACCAAACGTTGCTGTCCCCCGTGTTGGCCAGCAATGGCCCCGTGGTGCCCCGAGGGTGTCTGGTTGGTGTCCCGAAAGTGTCCCAGTGGTGTCCCGTGGCGTGCGGGTGTCCCGTGCTATGCTATGAGCTGTCATGCTCGATAATGAAATCGAAAGCACGATCGATACTGAGATCCATTGAGTGAGATCGGAAGTGAGATCGATCGTGAGATCGACAGTGATATCGATCGTGAGACTGGTAGTGAGGTCGACAGAGCAAGATCGATAGCGATATTGGTACCAAGACCGATAGTGAAATCGATAGCGAGATGGAAAGTGATATCGATTGAGTGGGATCGATCGTGGAATCGATCGAGAGATCAATCGTGTGTTCGATAGTGGTATCGATTGAGTGAGATCGATCGTAAGGCCGATTGGGAGATTAATTGTGATATCGATAGTGAGATCGATAGTGACATCGATGATGACATCGTCGATAGTGGAACTGATAGTGAGAGCGATCGTGAAATCTGTCGTGCGATCGTTCGTGAGATCGGTCGTGAGATCGATGGTGTTATCGATCGAAGTATGAATAGTGTGATCGACAATGGTATCGATAGTGGGATCGATAGTGATATCGAGAGTGAGGTCGGCAGTGCGATCGATAGTGATGTCGATTGAATGAAATGGATGGTAAGATCGATAATGACATCGATAGTGAGATCGACCGGGGACCTGGGAAACCGGAACCCAAAAATCGAAACCCCGGGAGCCTGGGAAACCCGGAGCCGGGAACCCGGGAACCTGGCCGCCTACCGAAATCGGCCCGGAACTTTCGCCAAATCTTTCAATATCCGCTAGGACCCCTTCAGTGCAAGCACTGATTGGGGAATATGGTGTTAGCTCATGGTCGGAAGGAGCCCATGTAAACACATACTCATGGGGCTCACGGGTGAATTGAACCAATGTAAAAACATATGGTTTGTGCTATTGAGGCCTCCTGGGACCTCCTGGGACCTCCTGAAACCTCATGGGCCCTCTTGGGGCCTCCTGGGGCGTCCTGAGGCCTCCCAGCGTCTCCTGGGGCCTCCTGGAGCTTCCGAAGGCCTCCTGGAGCTTCCTGAGGTTTGGGCTCACAGGCGAAAGGTACCCATGTAAAACACATGGTTTGATCTCACAGACGGAACGAACCCATGCAAGGACAGATAGGTTCGGCACACTGGCGAAAGGAGCCCCTGTGAAAACATCTGCTTTCGGCCCTCTGGCGACAGAAACACATTAAAGAACACATGGCTTGAGCTCCCAAACGAAATCATCCCTTCGAAAATATATGGTCCCGGCTCGCTGGCGAAAGGAACCGATGTCAAAATCATGGCTCCGGTCCCCTGGCGGACATAATACTCACGTGAGAACACATGGTTTTTGATTTAAGGTCGAAAGGATCCCATGTAACGCCTTATGGTTTTGGCTCATGGGCGAAAGGAACCAATGGAGACAGGCGCTAGACGCACCCTAGATACCCCCTTGGAGTACACAATTTTCATGCGAAAAACTCATCGACGCCATGTTCGATATCCCCCTGGGTGGCCTAGACAGATGCAATCACGCGGCACATGCACAGGCGCCAGACGCATGTTAGATACACCCTCCGCACACGTATTTTTACGCGTGGAGAATCCGACGACTCCGTGTTGGATATCCCCCAGGGCGAACCTTCCTCGAGCGGGCACGCGCGGGATGCTGTTCTTTGACCAACAAAGATCCTGCACCATGTGATTGATCGATCGGGACAAACAATGCGCCAGCCCACCTCGACTTCGTCATTGATAAAAGATCCGCCGGTCATCCTCAGTCGAGGCACTGGGGACAAATCATCATCCTAAACGAAAGCCCTGGGCCCCCGCCCTTACTGGTGAACAACAACTCCCCTTTCCCATCCTCTCCTCCCCTCCGGCCCTCCACTCCCCTTCTCCCCTCACCGAACGCACCTCTTTCTCCCCTCCTCCCCTCCCCTTGTGGTACATCGCCTTGCGCCGTCATCCACGTGCGTGTGGATGGCGCGCTTTGCGGCCATACCGGTGCATGTGGCTGCTCGCCCACCCCAGAACTTCGACCCTGGGGGGCGCCTCCGGAGTCTTGCCCCGCGGCCTGTGCTTCGGCCTCCCAGCACAGGCGGCGAGGCCCGACGGCAGGGCCCCCCCCCCCCCAAGCCTCGTCCCGGGGAGGGGCCTCCCCGGGACGAGACGGTGCGATGGACAGCATCCTGCCCGAGGTGCTTCTGGACCCTCACGCTACGACCAGCACGACCCCCACCCAACGCCGCCGCCCGCCCACGCTACGCCGCCCCCCACCCAGCGCCGCCGACCCCCACCCAACGCCGCCGCCGCCCCACCCAACGCCGTCGCCCCCCACCAGCACGACGCTGCGACCGCTGCGACTGCACTCCTCCGCCCCCCCACCCAACGCCGCCGCCCCCCCCCTCCCCTGGCAGCGGCGCCTGTCGCCTGCGCGGGCTCTGGAGCCTGCCTCAAGCGCTTCAGCTCGGTGCTCGTCTGCCGGCCGCCCCCCCCCCCCTTCCCCCCGCCGCGCCGCGCTCCGCGGGGCGGCTCCGGCCAACGACCGCCCAGGCAGGAGCGCGCGGCGCTGCAGCGGAGGGCCGCCGCCGAGTGGGCCCTCCCCCCCAGGAGCGCAGGAGTGGCAGGAGGCCGAGGAGAGGAGAAGCAGAGGGCTCCTCCTCCTCCTCCTCCTCCTCCTCCTCCTCCTCCTCCTCCATCTCCTCCTCCATCTCCTCCTCCATCTCCTCCTCCTCCTCCTCTTCCTCCTCCTCCTCCTCCTCCTCCTCCATCTCCTCCATCATCTCCTCCATCTCCTCCTCCTCCTCCTCCTCCTCCTCCTCCTCCTCCTCCTCCTCCTCCTCCTTTTCCTCCTCCTTTTCCTCCTCCTTTTCCTCCTCCATCTCCTCCATCTCCTCCATCTCCTCTCTCCTCCTCTTCCTCCTCCTCCTCCTTCTCCTCCCTTTCCTCCGTTGCAATTGTGGCGTAAGGCCTGAGGGGGCGCGATGCAGAAGGGGATCGGGGCGCAAAAGCACGGCGGCGCTCACTGGCGGACCGCCGACCGCCAGGGGCCGTGGTTTTTTGCTGGATCACAAGGGGGGCGAGGGCGGCAAGGAGGCTTCCCTCCTGCGTGCCCCTCTCCCTCCTAGTCCAGGGGAGGAGGGGGAGGGGGGGTGCAGGAGGCTCCACCCTGTGCGGGTGGGGTGGAGGGGGACGCCCAGCGAGGTCCATGGCGGGGAAAGCTCGAGGCGGGGCTTCTTTGTGACATCTCCTCCTCCTCCTCCTCCTCCTCCTCCTCCTCCTCCTCCTCCTCATCCTCTTCCACCTCCTCCTGCTGCTGCGGCCTTCGACGGGAAGAATTCCCGCCTCTGCAGGGAGGGCGGCGTAGGGGGGCAGGAGGCTCCACCCCGCGCGGTGTGAGGGGGGGGGGCAGCGCGGCCTGGCGGGGACTGCTCGCGTCGGAGCCCCTTTGTGGCATCTCCTCCTCCTCCTCCTCCTCCTCCTCCTCCTCCTCCTTCTGCTGTTGCCCTCGACGGGAAGAGGCCCGCCTCTGCTCTCGCCCTCGCTCTCCCCTCCCCCTCGTCCTCCTCCTCCCCCCCCCGGCGGTAGGTGAGAGACGACGAGAAGGAAACAGGATGGGAGGAGGCGGAGGGGAGGAGGTGACTCAGGAGGAGGATAACAACGAATAGGGAGAGAGAGAGAGAGAAGCGAGGAGGGGCCGCCGATGAACCCAGCGCGGCCCCAATGCAGAGCTGGTGCCAGTGCTGCACAGGCGCGGGCCCAAAACAGTAGGCTCTTGCACTGTCGGTGTGCGCTCGGTGTGGTGCAATCTGTATATGGCGCATGCGATGCAAGGCAACACGTGCAATTTACGAGGGATCCTCCAGAGCTCTGCAGGTTGCTGAAGGATCCCTCGTACATGCGCTGCGTCCGCGCTCCCAAGACATGATCCTTGCAATGTTCACGGCGCCCGCGCTCCCAGTGCCACGATCCATGGGAAATAACGGTGTTTGCGCACTCCCAAGGCGATGATCCCGCCCCCCCCCGCTAATTGTAACTTTGGTGCGCTAACATACCACATGGGAGGTTATTTCGGTGGAGTCCGCCCCTCCAGAATGAATTCGGGCTCCAGTGCTGTGATAACACCCGGGGGGTCTTAATCAGAGTCAAGGTTAAATATGGTGTCAAGCACGCGGTGCCATGTATGTGTTGCAATCTTGGTGGTGTAATATGTGAAAGGTGTCTATGTGGTGCAATCGAATTGTGCTGTAACCCGTGAAGTGCAATCGGTGTGGTACAATCGTTGCGGATCAATACGGCCCGAACAAAGTGTGAACTAAAGGGCTCGTTCTTTGGCCTGAATGAATTGGAGCTATGGATTGCGGTTTGTGCCAGCGTGGACTCCAAACAAAGAGATGTTGCTCAGTGGAGGTGTAACCTACACGGTCATGTATGCATGGGGCGCTCTATGTGGCGTGAGTTATGCGGTGCAAGTTATGTAATAGAACAGACGTGGTGTGCGTTACATAGTACCAACTATATGGTGCAAGCTGTGTGGTGCAACCTATGCGGTGCAAGCTATACTGTGCAAGCTGTGGTGCGAGCTATGCGGCCGGACACGAGTGGTCACTACGTGGTGTAAGAAAAGCGGTGCAAGCACTGCGGAGTAATCTTTGTGGTGTGAACTGTGTGGTGTCGACCCTGTGGTGCGACTATGCCGTGTAAGCTAGGCGGCGCACGCTATGCGGTGCAAGCTATGTGATGTAGTCTATGTGCTACAAGCCCGCACCGTCCGAAGAAATCCGCCGGCCCCCTTGTGGGGTCACCAGGCTGTAGGCCAGAGGTTCGCAGTTTCCTGTGCCAGTTGCAGCTTCCAATTTCCACTGTTACAGTTATGCTTCTTGCTGCTTGCTGTTCCTTGTTGACTTCTTGCTGCTTACTGTTCCTTGTTTTTTTCTTTTTCTTGTTCACCCTCTCTCTCCAGGGCGAGGCACTGCTGAATGCAAGTCCTGTGGATGGCAGCAGAAACCAGCCGTTTGCAAGATTCCCGCTGCTTGCCACGACAGGCTGCCCATGCATAAAAATGCCCGGCCCTCGTCTCGGACAGTCGGGACATGTGCGGCAGGCCGCCCTTGCACTAAAGTGTCCAGCCTTCCACCCCCACCCAGCCCCCTCTTCGCCAGCATCCATCCCCCTGGCCACGGCTGCTGTGAGATATAGCAGCGTTCGCACTAGAGGAGTGGGCAGGATGAAGGGAGAAGGAGAGAGATATTGATATTGATCCTGTCCGCCTCGAGGCCAAGGTCCAGCCTCAGAGCACGGATGGACTGGCCGCGGACGCACACTACTTCACGCACGGAGATGGTGCATCGCGGTCACGCAACGCTTATGCAGCAAGATCGAACACTTGAACAGCGTTGCAACTTAAGCAGACAATGAGCGTTTAAGTCCTGAGATACTTCGTCACCTCCTTTAGGCTCACTCATCCAATCGTCCCCTGCCTGCTCTTTCAAAACGGAGCTCAGTCCCAGGGACTAGGTATCTCCTTAACTTTCGCAACTCGAAGATCACCTTCTTATTGCAACCGTCAGGGTTGGTAAGCCTTTCACCTAACCTAGCACCGGTAGCGAAAACGCCGCACGAGGAGATGTAGTTCATCGGCGTATGACGGAGAGGGAAGAGGAAGAAGAACAAAAATAATAATAATAATAAGAAGAAGAAGAAGAGGGGAGGCCATAGCACGCCGTAGCTGTAACTCTCGCGGCACGCAGTATGCACCCGCGCGCAAAACGATCTGATAATCGCGTCTGGAAAATCAGAATAATCAACGAGCGAACCGGGATTCGTCGACGTGCTGGAGACGAATCCAAAAAACCCACCCAGTCTTTCGCCCCGATTCAGCATCAGAGGCGGGATCCGCTTATTCAGCATTAGAGGCGCCCCCTCATTCAGGTCTGGCCACCTGGTCCGCGGTGACCTGTGATACCACACCGCTTCCACAGATGCCCGTTTCACCGTCTTCCACGGTCTTGGTGATCTTGATATTCATGAACTGTTCAATGTCAGAATCGAGCCACCGGTCGATCTGCAACTCCACGCTCCCGAACTTCACATGCACCACGTGCATCTCCTTATCCTTGCGATCTGGCTGGAGCACATCCCCAGTGTCATCCAGCTTCGCTTCGAGGGTGTCCGTAGAGGTGATCGCCGTCTGAAATACCGACATGTCCTTCTCGAGAATGCTCTCCATGTTGCCCTCTGGGGAAACCCACATCGCCTCGCCCGTGGTGATTTGCAGGGTGTGCCAGCCGAGCATGGGGCCGCTGATGCCGACCGCCTTCAGGACTGGAATTGGATCACCCTCGTGCAATATGTCAGACACGCCCTGTATGAAGAGAGTGTCACTGTAGACCAGCCAGAATGACTTACCATTCAGCGGAGGGGTGAACTTGATGTTCTCTCCCACGGCTTTACCATACATCTGGACGTTCGAGTCCCCGTAGACGACGCACGATTTCACATCACCAGCAACAGCGGCCTTGACAAAGGCCCCGCGAGAGGCAACAGTCACAGCTCCCGTGGAGGACCCCGCGCGCCAGACCACAGCCAGCAAAGCCAGTGCCGCCGCAGCCGCCGACAGCGCCGCCGCACCTGCCAAAGCGCGTGGCGCGCGCGGTGCCCGCGCTGGTGCGACCCTCCTGGCTCGCGGTCGCTCTCGAGGGAGAGCTGGAGCGGCTGGGCCTGGCTCGTGTCCGCGCGCATGGCGGAGAACGGTCGATCTGCAGCGGGCGCTCCTTCAGGCCGCGAATGGGCGCCGAAACGACTTGAGCCCGAATGGCTTGAGCCAAAATGGCTACGGATTGCTGCTTACTGTTCCTTGTTGATGGACGCGCGATGGGGGCAGGCCAAAAACTCGCATTGTTACCACGCCCAAATCTTTTTGCTTGAATTGCTGGGGCGGATAAAAAAATGACACCCTCACGCAGATCGGCGGGGTCAGGGTGCAAAACCACATGAGATTTGCCACATTTCCGAAATCCGGTTGCACCCCTCACGCAGATCGGCGGGGTCAGGGTCAAAACAAAACATGGGATTTGTCACTTCTCTGAAATCCGGTGGCACCCCTCACGCAGATCGGCGAGGTCAGGGTCCAAAAACATAAGGGATTTGCCACATTTCCTAAATTCGGTGGCACCCCTCACGCAGATCGGCGGGGTCAGGGTCCAAAAAGACAAGGGATTTGCCACATTTCCGAAATTCGGTGGCACCCCTCACGCAGATCGGCGGGCCAGGGTTCAAAAACACAAGGGATTTGCAATTTTTTTGGAATTCGATTACACTTCTCATGTAGATTAGCGGGAATAGGGTGTAAAAATACATGAGATTTGCCACATGTTCTAAATTCGGTGGCACCCCTCATGCAGATCGGCGAGGTCAGGGTCTCAAAACATATGGGATTTGCTACATTTCTGAAATTTGGTGGCACGCCTCACGCAGATCGGCGGGGTCAGGGTCCAAAAACACATGGGATTTGCCACATTTCCGAAATTCGGTGGCACCCCTCGCGAGGGTCACTGTGCAAAAACACATGGGATTTGCCACATATCCGAAATCCGGTGGCACCCCTCACGCAGATCGGCAGGGTCAGGGTTCAAAAACACAAAAGATTTGCAACTTTTTTTGAAATTCGGTGGCACCCCTCACGCAGATCGGCGGGGTCAGGGTGCAAACACACATGAGATTTGCCACATTTCCGAAATTCGGTGGCACCCCTCACGCAGATCGGCGAAGTCAGGGTCCAAAAACATATGAGATTTGCAATTTTTCTGAAATCCGGTGGCACCCCTCACTCAGATCGGCAGGGTCAGGGTCCAAAAACACCAGGGATTTGCTTCATTTCCGAAATTCGGTGGCACCCCTCACGCAGATCGGCGGGGTCAGGGTCCAAAAACACAAAGGATGTGTTACAATTCTGACATCCGGCGGCACCCCTCACGCAGATCCGTAGGGTCAGGGCCGAAAAAAACAAACAGGTCCCGACACTGCATCACGGCGAAGCCAAAGCCTCGTGACTTCGCTCTTCCATGGCCCATTCTCCGAGAGAGGGGGCTGGCGGCAGGGGGCGAATCGGGGGCCACATGCTCGAGCTGGCTAGCTTGATGCGTATCCTACCCCTACCCCCCACGGCTTCTGAGGGCGGGGTAGGGGTAGGGTTCGCATGCGGTCCCCTAGCGAAACCCATCTATAGTGAGATGTTCGTCTGCACAGATCTCGCCCTCTGCAGTTGAATGCAAGTCCTCTCCGAAAACAAGATCTTCCACCAATACAGGTGTCGTGCCGTCTGCCGATGCCGTCGGTTCCCAGCTCATCCCCGCACCTGTAAGAGCAAGTGTAAGAGTTCGCATCATCTCGATAAGTTGCAAGCGCCCTCGAGCCACAATCACAACGTCATCGGCCCATCGTGTGGTTCAAAAGGGAGCCGTAGAACCGAACCCCATCTCGTGCCTACACTTTCCGTTATGTAGCCGTAGTTCGCGCGCTCCCACGCATCGAATACAGGGCCCCACATCTTAACAACAATCATGTTGAACGCCTGTGGTCCACTGGCCCCCCGTTCCGATATTGACATTCCATGCGAATGGCTCAACACTATCCCTCGACCGAGACTTGTCAAGATGCGTATAGCACACTCTCCAACAGGGGTATCTGGATATGTAGTGGGATGTTGCAATACTGCATCGCGTCCCGAAGCCTACCCATCGTCGCATGATCGAAAAGCCGTCGGATATCACATAGCTACATGCATCTCCTGGTTTCTCAATTTGACCGCGTGTTGACCTACAAGATTAAGCGTTGCCGTGAATTTGTATGTTCTCCAAAGAAGCTTGCACTATAGGCGTCCTAGCTCAAACCCTACGAATTGGTCCGTTGCCCCCCCCCTAATTCCTATGCCCCTCCCTAATTCCTATCGCTCGGCCTATGCCTATGCCTATCCCTCCCTTTTTCCAATGATCCCCCCTATGTATGATCACCCGGGTGACTCCAACCTAAGACCCATGGAGGCCCAACCGGAAAGAAAAAAAAAATGGGGCGCGCCGAAGAACCCAGGGGGTCCGGTTTCCGCGGAGGAAAGAAAAAAACCCTGGCGATGGGGTTCGAGCACGGGGGTTACCCCCCCCTCAAATTCCGGAAGAGGAATGAACTCCCAGCCGCGGGGGTGCCCGCGCGAGGGGTCCCACCCCCCCAAGCGCAACCAGAGGAAGAAAAGCGTGAGAGCCGAGACTGTAAGTGCAATGCAACAACACCTTAATCGCGGTTGCACTAGGGATTTGTATTAGTACGGGAACAACTGAATTACAGCCGGTGAGGTTTGGGTTCGGGTTCGGGCTTATATATTGGGAACCCAGTATATTGGAAACGCAATATATTGGAAACTCAATATATTGGAAACCCAATATATTCGAAACCCAATATATTCGAAACCCAATATATTAGAAACCCGATATATTGGAAACCCAAAATATTGGGGACCCAATATATTAGGAACCCAATACATTGGAAACCCAATATATTGGAAACCTAATACATTGGAAACCCAATATATTTGATACCCATTATATTGGAAACCCAGTATGTTGGAAACCCAATATATTGGAAACCTAGTATATTGGAAACCCAATATATTGGAAACCCAACATATTGGAAACACACTATCTTGGAAACCCAATATATTGGAAACCGAATATATTGGAAACTCAAGAAATTAGAAACCCAACATATAGGAAACCGACACAGCTGAAACTCAGTATATTGGAAACCCAATATATTGGGAACTTAATATTGGAAACCCAATATATTGAAACCCAATATACTCAGGATTCTCCCAAAAAATGAACGCTAAATAAAGAACAAAGCTTTGTTTTTGTAATGGTTTTTTAAACTGTACTAAGGAATTGTAGTAGTACTAGGGAAGTGCACTACAGACTTGCACTAGAAGTTGTACTATTACTCGGGAATTGCACCAAGGAGTTGCATCAAGGACTTGTACGAGGGAGTTGTACTAGCACTCGGAACTTGGATCAGAGAGTTGTTATAGTACCACTTAAACCGGGGAATTGTACGGGGGAGTTGTGCTCGGGAGTTGTACCATGGAGTTGTACTAGTACTGGGGATTGGCGATAGGGCGTTGTTCTAGGGGGCACAATTTTACCAGCTGTAATATGATACCAGCTGCACTCGAATATTTGCACGGCAGGACAACGTGCTCTCTAGGAACAACTGCGCGATAGGACATGATAGTACCAGTTGTACTCAAGTACGAGTTGTACGGTAGTCGGAGGGGTTCAGGGGTTCCAACGGCAACGCGCGCGGGGAAGAAGGAAAGAAATCCATGCGCCGCCAGGGGTCCCGGGTTTAACGGGTCGCCGCGAAGGTTGACCCCCCGCGGAAAGAAGAAAAGAAATCCGGTCGGGGGGTTGGGGGGTTGAGGGATGAGTCACGGGGGCGATTATGTATGCTTGCTTGCTTGCTTGCTTGCTTGCTTGATTGCGCGCTTACTTGCACGCTTGCTTGCTTGCTGAGTTGCGGATTCCAAGCATGCTCGATTCCTTCGACTCCTTGCTTTGAGTCGTCTAATCTGTTTGGAGTCCACGCTGGCTGATCGAGTCGTCTAATCTATTTGGAGTCGGCGCTGGCTGATATAATGACGTAGTCTATGTGCCACAAGCTATGTTGCGTGATCTATGCGCTGCCAGCTCTGCGGTGAAAGCCGTGTGGCCGCCAACGAGGCCGGAGCAGCAGCGCGGCATACCCTCGACAGGCCCACCCAGCGCACAGGGCGCCCACGGGCGGGCGCAGGCGGCAACCCAGAGCTCAAACTGAGCTAGAGGGGGGGGGGGAGGAGGAGGGAGGAGAGGAGGAGGAGGAGGGAGGAGGAGGAGGAGGAGGAGGAGGAGGGAGGAGGAGGAGGAGGAGGAGGGAGGAGAGGAGGGAGGAGGGAGGGAGGAGGAGGAGCAGGAGGCAGAGCCTCAACAGCCCTACCCAGCGCACGGGGCGCCCACGAGGCGCCCACGGGCGGCAGTGGGAGGCACCCCGGGGAACCCTCGACGGACCAACCCGGCGCACGGAGCGCCCACGGGGAGACCGCCTGGGCGAATCCTCGGCAGACCAGCCCAGCGCACGGGTCGCCCACGGGCTGCAGCGCGGCGACACCTCGACAGACCACATGGGAAACATCTCCTTTCGCCTTCTCCTGCTTCCTTCCACCTTAATCCCCCTCCTCCCCCTCCTCCTCCTCCTCCTCCTCCTCGTATGCGTCGTCGTCGTCTTCAGGGTCGGCGGCACCAGCCGTAAGGCCTTAGCAATCCTCGGCAGACCAACCCAGCGCACGGGGCGCCCACGAGCTGCAGCGTGGCGAAACCTCGACAGACCCGTCCAGCTCCTCAGGCAACCGAAGAAGTCCAAAGCCCCACATGAAAACACTGCTTGGGGGAAATGCGCTTCTGCAAGTGATGAATTTCGGGGCCCACATAAGCAAGAGAGCTGCCACATGATGGAGCCTTGTCTGGAGACAGCGGCTGTCTCATGTGACGCCCTCCCCGCGACATGATGGAGATTGACCATTTGCGGCCTTCTGGGCTCATGGGCGGAGGGCAGCCACGTCTCACGGCCTGTCCCAAAGAAGAAGCCACGCCCAACCACGTGCTCCGGCCTTGCCTGAGAAAAGGGAGGCCACGTGTCACGCCTGGGCCAAAGGGACGTACAGGTGTCGAACATCGTCCCTTGGCGGCCATCCTTGGGGATGACGGCCGTCGTGTGGAACTTCTTCAACCATGGAGCAAAACGACCACCTGCTTCTCTAAAGAAGAAAGAGAAATCTCACGTATCATGGGCTTC